CAGAGGGGAGGGTGGATAGCCAATGGAGGAGAAGGAGGAGGGCGGGGCCGGGGCCGGGGCCGGGGCCGGGGCCGGGGCCGGGGCCGGGCGGGCAGGGGGGCAGCAGCCCCTCAGCAGCTTTGCTGGAGCAGCAGCGCTGGCTGCGTGCTAAAGTGTTGTCTGATGCTCTTCCTTTAAAACCAGAAAGAAAGTGACAGAAAAAGAATTCCGTGCCCTCTTGATCCGAAACAGTAAGTACATGTACACGCCATTCCTGTTTTTCATCAGCGATGCACACGTTGTAAAGGCTGTCTCTTACGTTTCTTTCCGCTTGGATTTCAGCACTGTATACGAAGACCAACTACAAAAGCATTTAAAAAAATGTAATTCAAGAGAGAAGCCAAAGCCGGTAAGTGCAGTGAAAATTCAGCACCGCTTCGTCTCAAATTTAAGACTCTAAACATTACAGCGCTGCATAGATTTATCATGGCGCTGGCAGCCGTGAACAAGAAAACAGCAGTCCTATTCCTATTGCGATGGACCTCGTGGCAAAAAGAGTGAATAACTAAGCTTTTTGCATCATGGTAATAAACAGAATCAGAGTTATTTTCTTTCTTTTAAAGGTCTACTTTGTTCAAGATATTAATGCAGGTTTAAAAGATGTAGCAGAAATACCAGAAATACAAGTGAGTGCGTTTATTTGTTCTAAAGCTTGATCCCCATAAAACATGTTGCAGTTTGTTATGTTACTAAAGAACTGGCAAAAATAATTCTTGTATTTATCTGTTTGGTTTTTTTCTTAAACAGGTACCTATCTCTTGTCTATCTAAAGAAGAGCTGGAAGACTTAATTACCAAGTTGAAAAATGCAAGCAATGGTGAGCTTACTTAATATAGAAAATAAGATGTTTTAAAGAGAAATTATTAAATATTTCATTGTTGTTTTTGCTGTTAAGTATCTATGAGAAGAAAAGGTTAATAGAGTTACATACATTTGGCACTTAACACATCTGGAATATTTACCATCAAGATGTACGCAAACCTCACAGCTAAATTTTACTTAGAAGAATAAACTAGATTGAGAGAACAGTAAAACACTGATCTTTCATTCACGTAGCTAATTTCCTCTCCTTTTTTTTTTTCGGCGGCTCTCCACTCAAATATTATTAGAGATAACAATGCAGCTCTTCTATAAACGTCTGATGATAGATTTGTGCTCCCAACACATGTTACTCCACAAATTAGGCTCGTGTCTGAACATTTTAACACACGTGTAAAAAAAATAAACAGAAACCCTGAAACTGGAAACCTATACCTACAAGGCTTGCATCTGTGTACAGGCTTGGAACTTCAGCTTAAAGAACAAATAATGTCCCATCAGGCTTTACAAGAAGCCCTAAATGACCCAAAGAATGGAGAATCTGCTTTCAAACACTTGAAACAACAGGTATGGTCATTGTCTTACTAATAGCTATAGATATCTTTAAAAAAATACAGACATGTAGCTGTAAATTGCAACTGTTGTGAGTGCATAATACTAGTCTCCTCATATAGAGGAAATCTGATATACTTCTGTGCTCTTCAAACATTAGCCTGTATGTAGAATTTATGAGTAGCTGCTTTGCTGTTGTTAAGTGTTAGTAACAAAAGTACTTATGATCCTGAAATAAATTACAAATTGTGTGGGGTTTTTCAGAATTATTGTTTGTATATTCTTATTTTATGTTGATTTACAATAAATTTGTGCTACAAAGGTAAAATGTTGTATTTACGAAGAAGTAATAGGAATTTTTGACCTTTTTCTATAAGACATGAGACTAAATTTCCCAGTTGTGTAACAGATGCATAAAAAGAATTAGCCTGAGTTTGCCTTCTGACCTTTTTTATGTATATAGTAGGAATTTTAAGGGAGACAGATGGCATACTGTAGCAAAATAGAAAACCTTGGGAAGAAAAAATTTAAAAAATGGGAGAAAAGTCTCCTTTTTTCTGTACTACTTTCCTGCCTTCTACATTCCTTTCCACTGTACTAAAAAATGCATAACTGTAGCAGGCATAGACAGGGCTCTGAAGGCAGTGATACTTGACGGACATCCCATGCAGTACCCGTATTTTGGATGGCCACTTTGAGAATGAGCAAAGAACAATACTGTAATGGGTACCCGATCCCAAAATCCTTCCTAAAAACTTATGGATGGTGTTCTGTGGGAAGTGGAAGGGCAGCATAATGCTGATTAGCGAGACCTTTTAATCCCTTTCATCTGTACACACAAGATCTTTTCCCTTCCTCTCATGGAAGAGGTGACAAGGAGTTATCACAGACTAGAACTTGAACTTCAAGTATTCTGCAGTTTGGTGAAATAATCATTTTTCTAGAAGACATTACCATACACAGTATATATTCGCTTGATTCATAAATGATATTTTGAGGTTTGTAGGCTTCTATTTTAGGTAACATGGAAAAATTACATTTGCTTGGTCCAGGAAGATGTTTTGTTGAATTTGGAGCTGGGCGAGGAAAGCTGTCTCACTGGGTTGACATTGCCTTGCAAAATGCTGAAAATGTTCAGTTTTTGCTTGTGGAAAGAGCAACCACAAGATTCAAGGTAAGACGGAATACTGTCACATTAGCAGAATATCATTTCTAAACTGTTCTTACTGAGGCTAGTAGCATTTGCTTTTTATCTTCAAAAATAATAATGAAAAGACTTACCTTTGTCAAATAAAGCCTTTGAAATGTTAAAGGTTTTGGAAGTGTGATTGTCTACATTCTATACTTTGCTAATAGCAAGTTTATTAGAAAAAATTTTGGTGTCTGATGTTGAAAACATGCAAATGCGCATTTGAAAGGGACAAAGGCAAATGTTGATAACTGCAGCAAAACGATAATTTTTAGTGGCCAGCACTACTTAATCATAGCGTTCTGTTTACACAGGTGGATGGAAAACATAAAAGGAGAGATTCCATATTTGAAAGGCTTCAAGTTGATATTCAACACTTATGTTTAAGTAAGTTCCTTCTTGACTTGCATAATTCTGAGATACAGGCTTAATTACGGATTTTGAATACCGGACTCCAAGATCTGTTTCTAAGTAGTATGCATAAATTTATCTGTTTTTGAAGATTATTCTCAGTGTTTTCTTGGACAGGTTAATGGTATGTTTCTATCTCTAAATTATTGAATGGGGGATTTACCAATTTCTGCTTGGATATGTTTATAGGACTTAATTATGGGTAAAAAACACCCAAAACAATTTTCTTAAGGCTTTTAGAAGTTGCAGGATTACACACCTTTGCATTGTTTATTTTAGCTGCGCATAATGAAGCAACACTCAAATATTACTGCAGAACGTTTAAAGAACATGTGGAAACACCTGTCAACAGGAGATGTTAGTCATGTTTATGTTTCGTAGGTAGTATAGAAAGCCTAGAATGGTTAAATGGATAAATGTAACCATCTTAAATCAGCATAAATACAAAATCCTGTATTTCAAGTAGTGTATTTTAATAAAAGGCAAAGTATCTATATTACTACGTAGCTGGAGCTAATCTCTGGATTACAGATAATTCTGTAAAGGAAAATCAGTCCACAGTTCTCTGATGCATCATTTTACTGTTATATATTAGTGTTGCTGCTCAGCTACTCAGAAACAAAACCGTTCAGCTTGCTAACGGCGTTACGATACATTCTTTGCCTTTGGACAGTGTTGAGTTCTTTAAGAACAAGAAGAATATGCTTTCTCAGGCACAGCATATGATTGTCTTCACTTGTGTTAGAAAATTAATTTTCCCTTTGATAGCTTACAAATGTCTGCCCTTTGTCTGTACAGACGACTGTATTTTCAGTAGTGCTAAACCTTTATTTTTGTACTAAGATTGCTGAAATTATATTATCCAGAAAAATATTGCCTTAACTATAATAATAAAAGTTCTGGGCTTGCTGTTTGTTTGTTTGTTTGTTTCAGATAAAGTACCCATTTTAGAGGAAAAAAAACTACCCCTGGTAGGAATTGGGAAGCATTTGTGTGGTGCTGCCACAGGTATGAATTATATATATATATTAACTACAGAAAGTTAGGGTGCTAAATCTTATAATCTGAATGGAATGATCTTCCAAACAGTTCTTTAATGCTTTTCTTTCCTTCTAGCCCTTTGCTAGTGAATGTAGCAGTTCATATTCTAAATATCTATTGACTTCAGCGGAACACTGATTGGATAATAGTAGTCACAAGGCTACTTTGGGCAGGAGTAAAACCTCACTAGTTTTATAGAGTTAAAGAATAGCTGAGGTTTTTTTCATATATTCATAAACTGCTAAAACTATCCTTTCCTTCACTGTCACCTCTATCCTGAAATGTTTTTCTTCCTAAAGTTAGATTGGGTATGTTTGAACACATACATGTAAGTATATGTGTTCAGACAAGTAAATGAATTAGAAGAACGTTTTACTGGCCTGATAATCTTAAGCTAATGCATTTTTTTTCTAAGGTTATATCCCTAGTAAGTGGAAAAATACATCTCAAATATGATATAGCTGTGTACACATATAAGTACTGTTACAAAGATGGCACCATCAAGCATTTAAGAAGCATATGTACATATTAAATAGATTGTGTCCTTGATGTCAAACTTTTAGAGCAAAATTTGCATGTTCTACAGGGAGGAGATTCTTACATTAAGCCAATTTGTTAGCCTAAATATCGCTAATAGACTTGGATAGAAAAAAAAATTTCAAGGGACTTAGCCCTTACTAGATCGAGAGGTCTCCTAATATTCATTGAGCATTTAGGGTTTTCATGTTCTTGAAGTATGCTTGTAATCTTTATTTATCTTAAACAGTTGCATTTTGGCTTTCTTTGTGGGAAGAACGTTCCCAACCTTTATGCAGCCTATATAAATAACGGCATAGCGTTCATCACTAGATTTTTTTCAGTACGTCTTTTTTTTCCCCCAGATCTTGCTTTGAGATGTTTGGTTGAAAGTTACACAACTTGCTGTGATGGAGAAAATGAAGAGCCTGTCCTGAAACGCTCTAAGAGTGATATGACAGAGGTGGCTTCTAACAGTTTTATTGGTAGTGAAAGGAACAAAGACGATACATTAGAAAACTCTAAGCCTGTAGCCGGAATCGTTATCGCACTGTGTTGCCATCACAGGTGTGACTGGACACATTATGTAGGCAGAGAGTTCTTTAAATCAATAGGACTTGGTCCAGTGGAATTTCATTATTATCAGAGAATGAGTAGCTGGGCCACCTGTGGCATGCGAGAAAGCATAACCAAAGCCTCTATGAATGACGAAGAGAGTGAAGATCAAACTGGCAACAAAGAAGAACATGACCAAACAGACAGTAGAACAGAGAGTGGTTCTGACACTCTGCAAGGGTATGTGAATTTTTTTCTAGCATATGAACTCTTGCAGAAAAGCAAAATTATGTATAGTGCTAGATGAAATAATTGTGGGTCCTCAAAATGATTCATTTTACAGAAACATTTTTATGACTCATTTTACAGAAGCCTATTTTATAGAAATATTGTGTTTGAAGAACATAATTGTAATGGACCTGCATTTCAAAATCTTTAGACAACCAGGTTTGCCTGAGTTGAAATGCACTTAAAATGATTTGAGTCATTCTTCTAAGCTTAACTAGTAAAGTTAATTAATAAAACTATTCCTCTAATACATGCTGTCCTCCTTTCTCCTGTCTTTTTTGAAACTAGGCTACTTCCCGCTGAAGAGCGAAAGGAGATAGGTTGCCTCTGTAAACTGTTGATTGACCATGGACGGATTGAATATTTGCAACAAAGAGGATATAAGGCTGCACTACAGTATTATACAGAGTCTGCTGTATCCTTGGAGAATGTACTGTTGACTGCTGTTCCAAGGTAGTCTTGGATACCAGAGCCAACTACATGACAGGAAATAGATTTGGAACTGGTAGAAAACAAACTACAGAATTTATTAGTTTATTAAAAACCTACTCATACATTCAGTGCTTACCAAAAACCTGTTCAAGTCTTTCCTGTCTCCAGGAAACGGTGTTACATTTCCCAGTTTCACTTGGAATTGCAACTATGCAAACCAGTTCTCATCAATGGGTAAATAAAATCCCTTAGGACACTTGAAATTTGTTGTAGAACTCTGTTAGGAAGAAGTATATTTGATATTTTCTTCCAACTCACATGTTATTCATTAGCACTTATGGTACGAGAAGGATCAGAAGTGCAACTTCCCAGATACTCTGAAAAACAAAGGGGTTAAAAATAAGAGAAGTTAAAATACCTAATTTGCTTCCACTTTGAAGTTCAGGAAGGCTGTATATTTCCTTTTTAAATTATTTAAATGTGCCTAGATACTTACTTCATAAGCGCATGCTACTGGGGGAATCTGTTCAGGGAGAACACTTATTTGTAAACTGGCTGTCATCTTGATAAGAGGTGCTAATTTCATGCTAATAATAAATGTAAATAATAAAATAAATTTGCTAATTTTAATTTGCATTTATGAAATATTGATAAGAGAAAAACCGGTTTAGATAAAGTTCTAAAATCGAGCACTTTACTCATTCATTTTTTTAAGCCATCATGTAGACAGTGAAGACGAGAAAAAATGTTTTTGTGTCTTCAGTGAGTGAAGTTCTCTGCAAGTAACAAACCTGCCACTTGCACATCTGTTCAAAAGTGCTCATTTTGGTCTGTTACTGCAACCTTTGAACATGAAAAGAAGTTTAATCTAGCTGTTATCTTAGTGATTACTAGAACCGTTGTTTTTGTCATAGCAATTTGGAAGCAGGTTTTTTTTTTTTTTTAATTGACTAGAATTTCTGTCAAGGGGAGGCAGTAGATAGTGGTTGTGAGGAAAAAGCTGTTTATCAGGTGTTGGTACTTCATTTCTAAAAAATGTTGGATGCTGGGTTGATGATTGGATGATTCTGCGATTCTGTGATTCTGGGAATACAAACACTTACCACTTCCTTCTTCAGTCGTCCCTATCTGGACAATATCAGGGAAAGTTGAGCTTCGTGGGACAAACAATCTCAGAAGACCCACACTATTTGACTCCACTTAAATTGCAAATACAATCTAGTCATTAGCTTCCAATTATCCAGGTTGTACATAACTTGGGCACAGTGGTTGCACTGGTTGCAGTGCATTGCTGCAAGAATATGTGCTGTTCATATAAAGACCTAGTTTGCCAGGCGCTGAGAAAAGAGCCCCTGCCCTCAATACAAATCTGTTGGCAGATTTTGGAAAAATGTATTAACAAGATTCTTCATGTTTCATTTTTATATATATCCTTTCTTTTATCCAGTTTATGCTTCCCTTCCTCACTATTCTAGAGAGATTAGAATTAATAAAAATGTCATACCTGCTTTCTTGAGTGATTCCTGAATATACAAGTGCATGAATTCAATGCCAAACATTTCGCGTTCCTCCTCCTCTTCTGTGTCCTCACATGGAGGGAGTGTTATCTCCAGCTCCAGTGGGTTGTCTCTGAAGTTGACAAACCTGACAATTCATCCGAAAAAGTTACTCTTGCAATTGGTTTTGTCCAGAGAGAACTCTTTTGAAACTGAACTAAGATTGATCAGATGGTAGCTTTTTGGAGCAAAGTAAAATAATTTTAAGGGTAATTTTCCTGATGCATTCTTACAACTATTTTGTTCTATTAAAAAAGAAAAAACTGTTTCAGTACTATTAAGTAAGTTAAGAAGACTTCTTAAGATAACTAACTGATTGGTGGGGGAAAACATTGCAGGCCTCATATTTTGTCTGCAGGTTGTCACCTCATTGTCAGCCTTACTGAGCTTCCACAAATAGATGAGAGGTTGAGGACAAGAATGCAAATGCTTGTGTCTTCCCAGCTTTGCAAAGCAATAGCCAGTCCTGTCTCCTCCTCGTTTTGGACCATCCCCCTTCCATGCATACCTAGGCCTGACTGCATGCCTGATGCTCATCTCACAGGCTCTTTGCTACAGAGTGCCCAGGATAATGTTTTTGCCCCTTTCCTACTTCTCCAGATAAGTCTCAGGAGAGGGACGTGTCCCTGCTTCAGGGAAACAAGCTCCTACCCATCTTTTGGAACAGTTGCCACAAAAAAGTATACCTTTCTCTCTCTTTCTCTCCCCGCACAGACTAGGTATTAAATTTGGGGCAGCTATACTGGTGTCTGTTTGTTAAAAACTATGCTACTTGGCCTGAATCCCCTTCCAAAACAGTCTGAAAACAGAGGAGTTGCATTACTGGATTAGACATGATTTATTTAGACTAGTATTCTCTCTCTGCTTCAAAGGAAAATACAAATAACAGGAAATTTCCTATCACAGAACACAAAATAATCTCTTCACTACAGAAGTTTCTTTCTAATTCTATGACGTAACAATTTATATATTTTTATATTTTTATATATACACACACATACATATAAATATGTGTCTATAAATATATAAATATATGTGTGTGTGTGTATATATATTTTATATATATATAAAGCTTATACACACACACACACACACACACACACACACACACACACACACACACACACACACACACACACACACACACACACACACACACACACACACACACACACACACACACACACACACACACACACACACACACACACACACACACACACACACACACACACACACACACACACACACACACACACACACACACACACACACACACACACACACACACACACACACACACACACACACACACACACACACACACACACACACACACACACACACACACACACACACACACACACACACACACACACACACACACACACACACACACACACACACACACACACACACACACACACACACACACACACACACACACACACACACACACACACACACACACACACACACACACACACACACACACACACACACACACACACACACACACACACACACACACACACACACACACACACACACACACACACACACACACACACACACACACACACACACACACACACACACACACACACACACACACACACACACACACACACACACACACACACACACACACACACACACACACACACACACACACACACACACACACACACACACACACACACACACACACACACACACACACACACACACACACACACACACACACACACACACACACACACACACACACACACACACACACACACACACACACACACACACACACACACACACACACACACACACACACACACACACACACACACACACACACACACACACATATATATATATACACACACACACACACAAAGTTTTTCTACTCCAGTACAGGAAAGTTTCATCCATATCCTAATAGCTAATCTCTTTTGTTTAATTGTGAATGCCTGGTTTTTACAGCTTTTTTGCCAAGAGTGCCAAAGTTCTACTTTTTAATCATTTTTATGCTCTTCACATATTATTGCTTCTAGCTCTTGGGTTTAGAGTGAATATCAAATGGCCTTCTAAAAGCAGGAATTTGGACCTTTCAGAGATGACACAATCTCCTTTCACCTTTGAGAGTGTAATGATCACAGCTTATTTCTTTAAATGGGTTGTGCTACATAAAGCTTTATTGACCGGACCTTCAACTGTTGTAAATTTGTGTAACTGTGCTGATTGGTATAGAGTTGTGCCCATCTGTACAACTGAGGACATGCCTTTTCTATCTCCACTTCCTTAGATATCGCTGTGCCACTACAACTCAAGGGCGATTTTAAAACTTAGCTTCTCATACTTTTATCTGTATTTTTCTTGTTTTTTCTTACCTTAGATTTGTCATGTGCTTCATACAAGCAGGAATATCCTTAAGTCTGTTGTTGCTGAGGACAAGAGTACTCAGATTTTTCATATTACCAATGGTTTCTGGCAAAGAGTTTATCTCATTCCTTTGGAGCCATAAAGTATGGAGATTCTGCATTCTGTAAAAGTAGGTATTTGCACAATCAATCAATATTTAGAAAATTCATCTTATCAATCATTAATAGAGTAATTGATTAATTTTGATAGTCACATAACAACGGTCTCAAAATAATACAGAAATTTTCAGGAAAAAACCCATATCCAAGATGATCATGTAAATTGCCAGCTGAAATTTTCTGTAACAAAATCATTTTACTTAATAACCAAAACTGAATTCATCACTTTTATTTATTAAATGGATTATTCCAGCTTATTAAAAATACCACATTAGGGCTGATGTATCTCATTTTGCTGTGAAGTCAACACCAAAATTGTGTCACTTTTTGAAATAAAATTTAATCATCAGAATTCTAATGCAATGGAATTCAGAGTAAAATTTGAGTTTTATTTACCTGTCAATTGTATCAGGAAGCTCTCGGAGTTTATTTCCGCCCATATCTAACCATTCTAGACTTGGCATATTGAGAAGAGCTGAGGGGATGGTAGTAAACTGATTCATGCACAAGTCTACATGTGAAAGATTCTTTAAATCACTGAGCTGAAAAGAAAGGAAGATTGAATGTAGGTTTGTATAGATGTTCCATTACTGCTGTGATTTAATCATGGTGACTGAAAGAAAGACACAATTTAAAAGCATTAAAAAAGCTTTCTGGAGTTTGTAACTGAATGGTTTCTGAGTTACATTAGTTGATGTTACCTAACAATTACAGTACTCACCTGGAAGGTAAGATAGATAGGTTTGAAACTGCTCAGGCAGAAGAACTTTATCTCCCACCTGGTCATGAGTTCACTAACTGCTGAGAAGCTGAAAGTCATGACTACAGTGTAGGTATACCCCAAACCTTGAGAATAAAAGGAATTTAAAGAAATTCCTCAGTGTTTCCTACAGTCTTGGTAATTCTCAATTCAAGTTTTTATGAATCAAGCATTCAGGTTTTTATGGATCAAATTGCATGTACTATGATGTGGACTATGGACTTTTAGAGTGAGCCTAGGTACTTTCAGTGCTGTGAAGTCTATCATTATAACAAGACATTCTAAAAATTAAGGATCGCATGATTCAGTATTGCAATACAAAGTCCTTTTGGCAAACAGCTCCACTATTGAAGTGATGCAATGATGCGTTATTGCAAATCTGGTCCAACTGTCTAAACACCACACACCACTCAAATACATGTAATTAAAGCTAAATTTAAACTATATAGCTCAGGTATTCAATCACCACAGTCTCAGCAGGACAGAAATAAGAATTTGCTGCCATTTTAAAAGCTATTGCTCTACATTACATCACAAAAACTATATCCACATGGATTTGGTGAATACTGGATTCTGATTAATAGTATATATTTTCATTTGAAGATCTGTTGTTAGGTTTTACTGTGTAGACCCAATTTTGCAAGGCGCTGAGTGCTACCAACCATTATCATTGCTGTTTTTTAAATAAATTCAGATGAGTAAATGGGCTACATATTTGACCTCTCTGTCAAACTTAGAGATGCAGGTCTCTTTCACGTCCAGGTCAGCCCAAATTAGAGCCCAGTAGTAGGTGAGCAAGGGTTTTTTTTGTTTCTCTCTTAATTGCTTTCAACATCTCAGAAGAAAGTTAGATCAACTTTTTGTGCATAGGTGGTTGTCTAAATCACACAAACCTTTTTCATAACTAGCAGCCCTGGTAAAGACACTTGTAATTGTATAATGGCTGAATGAATTTGTATACTGAGCTTTAAAAGAGGGCTTCTCTGTGCTGAAGGGTCAGATCCCCACTGGAGTAAATCACCAAAGACCTTCAGCCTCAACAAATTAACATCAAGTGTATCACTGTTCTATATGCTCTACCAAGCCATTTATCTGGACAAAATAAAGACTGGCTCCTGCAAATATTGTCCTTGTCATGTGGCTTCAGCTTGATTATTCATATAAATATTAGTCATACATGTGGAGTAGTTGTGAAATTAGGGTATTGAAGCAAATCTGAAAACATGGAGTTCAATTTTTAATCAGAATCCTTTTTGGATTCGAAATACACATTTTTAAAAAACCCTATCTTTCCCAAACCTGAGAAGGAAGATCACAGATACTCCTGTTAACAGCCAGTTCCAATCTTTCCAGACTGATGCAGTTACTTATTTCCTTAGGAACAGACTTAATTCTATTGTAACTGAGAAGCAGCTCTTGGAGGCTAGTCAGCTGGCCTGCAGAGAGCACAAATCAGAAAGAATGAACCTGAATATTTATTGTACCTGAAATAAAAGATTAATTGTTTTGTGTTATCTTAGTACCACAATACAAGTGCTCTGTGTTCTCACTGAAGAAAAGATGCACTGAAATTCAAGTGGAAGAACTTGGGGACTTTTTAGTACAGAACTGCACTCCACTTGAGCAGTAGAGAGAGAGTTACAAGCACAGGCAACTCATGCTGTGAGCTCAGAACGTGAAGCCTGTTTTTCAATATCACTTTCCTAATTGGATTCTCTCATGTCTAGTATCTGCTGTATCTACAAGCGTCTTTCTCATGGGGAGCTTTAATAACATCTGTCTCCTCCATCTGGCCATCTGTATTTTCACATTTTTAGGAACTCAATGGCTTTGAGACAGCTATCTTACTATCAAATTTAAAATATCTAACTACCCAATAGGACGGTTAGAGAGTCAAGGTGCACAAAAGTAGCATGTTTGCCTAAGTTTAATTTTCTTAGAAAAGCAAGTTGAAATAAAAGAAAGCACAGCTCACCAATTTCTTTAGGTATACTTTCAATTGAATTCCGGGATAGATCCAGAACAACAAGACTGTGAAATCTTCCAATGAAGTGAGGTATTTTCTGTAAACTAGCTCTGTGGAGATGCCATTCCTGGAGATGGATGAGTTTCAGTAAGCATGAAGGTAGTGTCTAAGACAAGGAATATGAATCAGAAGAAATTATATATAGTGTATATTTATTATATAGTATATAATCTATATAGTATATAATATGAATAAAGGCTTTTAGGTAGGATCTTTCTGGAAACATTAATGCTTAATATTGTGCTAAAAATAATAAATCTTTCCTTCTTCTCAAGCTATATTGTAACATTCTTAAAAGAACTCCATCAGTGTGGGTTATTCTGACCACAGATTTAAGCAGACCACTTTTCGCTCCCAGGATTTAGGTATCTGCACTTCTGTCCTATCTTGAAAAGCCTCAGCTTTTCTTTTCTTTTCTTTTCTTTTTTTTTTAACATAGCAAATATAACTGAAGATGAAACAGCTCAAAATAGCTTTTTTCTCATAAAGGTGATCTAAATGGTATTTCCTATTCTGTTAAGAAAAAAAAGTGAGTATTTGAGTGCAGAGAGAGAAAAAAACCACAGTGTTTGTATGGCATAAGTTCTTAACAGGGAACAGAGCTTCCCTATACTGGCCTAGCGATCACCAGAGCATTGCCGGATGGCGCCGTCACTCTTTCACTGGCCTCAGCATGATCTAATTCTCTTCATTGCATAGGAACTGACTTCTGCATTTCTCTGTTGGTGAAGCTACCAATCTGTAGCTTAAAAGAGATTTTTATATTCCTCTCTGTTATTGAACCTATTTCCTCCCATGCATCAGAAACAACAACAGTAGTATCCTGGGAATCTACTGGTTAATTCTCATTTTTAGAAAGAGAAAATAACACTAAGAAACGTTTTTACGCATCTTAGCACAGAGGTTTTTCACACTGAAAAATTCCAGTAGTTCTGGCGTGTTAATAAAATTAATTTTTACCTATTTAAACTCATAATTTAAAATGTGATCAAGTTCTAATGCAGAGAAGCTTTTTGGGCTATATTTTTGTAGAGTAATGCTTAATATTCGAGAATAAAAATCAGCTTGCTTTTACACTGTCACAGCAACAGTGCATCTCTCAATTCATTGTTAGCAGAGCACACTGTGAGCAATTCATAGATTAAAAGTAGTATAACTGTGAGTATAAAGACGTAAATAGTACATCTTTTTAATGCATCAATTATTCAACCCAAGCAACATTTACTCCCACCAACACTACCTTCCATTCTTCTTCCTCTATCCTTAAAATTGCTCTCCCATCTTCATTAATAACTTTTTCCTTAAGCTTTGCTAAAGTGGCTCTCTCTTCCAAGACAAGTATTAGTCTACAAAGGAAAGAAGAGCTGTCAGTGAGGCAACTATGAATACAGGCAACAATTACTATCCATTATTTTCTGGAACAGCAAAGAAACAATAGCCTTCTTGGATGTCAAACAAGCACTTACTTTATCTGGGTGCTAGATACACTATCACTTGAGGGACGGTCAGGATATAAAGTAATATTTGGCTGAAGTCATTCAAAGGAATTCTAGTATTTTGCAGCTCAGCATAATTGTTCTTCAACTCCACCGAGTCGCAAGAGAGGCATGGCTTAATTCAGTTTTATCACATTTCAGCAGGGCAACACAAAGTTATGCAAAATTATGGTTCCAAAGCCATTCATTTTAGAAGCAATCCCCTAAACAGAAAGCCTCCAATTCCACCAAACGTAGAATGCTACCAAAGGCAGTCAATCAGCTTGGGTTTTTTTAATGTGTTTTCCAAAGGAAATGTATGCAGTTATGCTAATTTTCTTTCTTTCTGCTTGCATTTTCCATTAGTAACTTTGGATTTCGTTATTCCATTTCGAACACATCTGACAAATGAGGAAGGGTTTTCAAAGATGTTAAATTTCTTCACATTTCACAAAATAGCTGGCCAAAGAGAAGACCAATAGACCCTGTCAATGCCTCCACTGAGAGGAAAACATACAAAATTCAATCTCCACTAGCTAGAGTATGTACACTGGAGAGGGATTTTACAATCTGTATTATTTTACACCAGGTTCATCAATGAATATGTTGAGCATTCAGTGGAGAGTATTTTCAAATAATCAGTTGCAGTTCCCAGGCTATAAAAACAAATGAAAGATTTCTTTACATTACTGTAGCTGCATTAAGAAGCTACTGTTCCTTAATATATACCTCGGTGGATTTAGTGTGTGTGTGTGTGTGTGCATGTACGTGTGTGTGTGCATGTATATATGTGTATGTGTGTGTGTATATATGCGTGTGTGTATATTTTAATGACAGAACCCAATTCTTTGTTTGATCTGAACATACTATTAGATTTTCACCAGTAGGAATTCTGCTGGAGTAAGGATTACAGAATTAGATTCTCCATGAGTTCGAAAACACCAGTTATGTTCTTCTGCAATGTAACATATGCTCTAGCTTTTCATATACTAAAGGTTTACAATTTACCCACCTTCCTGCAGATCTCTGTCTGAATTCCTTTTCTTTACGTAATTCATCATTTATTTTCTGTATTCTCACTTCCCAAAGTGTCTTCACAGCAGTGAACGATCCAACACAAACAGCAGTTTCAGTCATGATTCTTACATATTCTGATTCAGCCACCAGGGTGTGATTGTGAACTTCTGGCTCAATGCATCAGTGACTGTATCAGCTACCAGATGGGGACAGTGACATGAAAATTAAAAAGCTGCCATTCCTACTTGATTATATTATTAAATATAGTTAATGTACAGAGATGATAGAATTTTGCCATTGCTTTCTCTTTACAAAATATATAATCGCATCTAGTTAAAATAAAAAATCAGGTTAAGGTTTTGAAGTCATCTCTTCCTTGGTGAGATACTTTCCTGAACAGCAGCAAAGTAGGATACTCGGTTATCCCAGGGACTGCATCCCTCTAAAAAGTGTCCTTATTGGCAATATTGTACTGTGGGTTCCTTTTTGGCAAGGGGTTGGGGGGGCAAGGAGTGTTAGAAGTGGACTGGAGCTAACACATTCATATCCAGCTAAATTTGGAGGGCCAAACTTCATGCCAGCAGCCGTGCATATCTGTAGTCTGAACACTGTTGATTTAAATGCTCTGTTTCAAACTTTTTACTAATAAAGGGGACAAGTAAGAAAAACATCGTCTTAAGTACACATTAAAACTCAAAGAGTGAGGATAGCCTTCCTCCAAATAAGCAGGTGGATAACAACAAACGCAGAATTTCAGGTCTTCACATACAAATATTTCTCTACAATAATTGTGGTAAGGCTGTCTTTTAGAGCAATTTTTCCACCATATATATACTATTACATTTTCAAGTGCCATGGATAAGCAAATAGGGCATTGAAATAGCTTGATGAACATTTCTGTGTTTAAACTGGCATGCGTTCTTTTTTATGCTTACCACTTCTCTTGCTAAGGTGTTTATTTGTAAAGCCTGATTATCCTGAATCACTTAATTAAAAAGGTATAGGCAAGCAAATAACAAGAAATATAAACTTTCAAGATTGCTTACCTTTATAAAGACAGTATAAAATTAAATTACAACGCTGGATTAAAGGAGCATCTGGTCCAATACTTTGATATCAATGGTTCTTAACTCTTCACTGTTTGTTAAGGAAAAGTGGCAGGATTTGACAGGTGACACAAATGACATCCACAGCATGGCACAATGCAGTCTGGCATTTGCATTCCTAAAAAGGGATTGAGGTTTTTCCTGTAAAGAATGGATTGTATCCTCTTTCCTTCCCCTACATAAATGTAATCACACTTACATGCTGTACTTTAGGGATTAATTTCTCCTTTAGCAGTACTCAGTAATTACCTTTCCCATTCCTCATCCCAATATGTAGCAGTAATGACTAAAACACTGTATAAAGCTTTCTGCTCTGGTTAGGCGTTGCAATTTAAGTTGCCTTATTTTTCAGGAGTAACCTTCTACTGAGATTAACTGATCTACCTGATCTATTATTTCTCATTGTTTACAGACATTTACTAAACTATAAGCCTTTTCAGGTAGAAAACTATATTTTTATATACATTGCACAGAAAATAGACAATGAGGCTGCAAGTCTCTAAAGAGATATCTTTGATACTTGAACCATAAAAGACAGTATTGGACTATACAGTCAAAACAGTACTTTCTTTTTCTCTGATGAAAGCTTACACTTGGCAACTCTCTTGCAGTGAAAGGCAGATCATTTAATAAACACCGCTTTAGAATAAGAGGCCCTAGAGATAGGCTTCTGTTTTCAAGGAGATTTAATTATATAATAACAGGACTATCATCAAAAGCTTCTTGTTCTTATATCTTAGGATTTGTCAGGAAAATTAAAAAAACATAATAACCACACCAATGATTCAGAAATAAATTCTCAAGTGCGGCTGTCAAACAGCTGCAAACTTACTCCCATGTAACTAGATCTCTCAACAACTGCACCACCAATCATCCAAGAGAGTTTAAGAACAACTTACCTAAATTATTTGGGGTTTTCAAACATTTTCCATGACTCATTGCTTTCTGGGCAAGAGCAGAGATAAGTTATGAATCTTGTCTGTACTACTAAAACCATTTAGAACTCTTACTCAGACACCAATGTCATATCAGCCTAGTTCTAATTTTAACCTATGCTGAGAATAGAAGGTATCACGTGAGGCACTTTTGCAAAGCCCCTGTGCTTTTACCACTCTTCCCAGTTTGCTGATACAATTGCCGATACAATACATATTTTAAAAGATACTAACTACTTCAGCCTTCAATCTTCTAAGTTTTTTTTTTGTTTGAAAAAAAGTTGTCCAACAGCAAACAGGATCTAACACCTATTTCTTTTGGTTTTGGTATAAGTATTTCTTCTTTTGATTTTCGTTCATTTCCCATGGTGTTTTTTAAACAATGCTTTTGTTAATCTGAAAAATCATGATTAAAAATCTAACTACTTAATTTATTCCTCCTTGACAGAAATAGAGAGCTAGGCCAAAAACAAAAAAACCCTTTCTTTTTATTGGAGTTTTGATACCGCGTAAATTTCCAGCTCTTCCTGCTAGCAAAATTCTTCTGTTTGAAATATTTTAAAATCACTTTATTGCTTTCTATTATACACTTATGCTTCCTCATTTTTTCCCCCCTGATCATAAGGTTAAAAAATACACTATTCAGACTGAGCCCTTACCACAACAATATATTTGTAGGAGAGTAGCCATTAGGCTTTGTCCTTTTGGAAGTCTGAAGTGCAGTAGGTTCTTTTAGAAAAGAAGAAATAGAAGGCTGAGTCACCTGTACAGGATTGCCTGCATGAAATTCACAAATAAAAAGAGTATTACTACAACTCTTTGTGGTTTTAGAAAACTTTTACTAGTAATAAAGAAGTCTGATAAAAATTAAATAGGTGATAAGCACAATATATCAGTCAAACTTTGCAAGAACTGATCTATATAAAAGCCCTTTATATCACAACAGAAATATAAATAGCAGCTTACATGTATGCTCTCCCGTTACATTACCAGCTTTTCTCCTGCCCAGTGTCAGCATCAAGGACAGAAGAGATTCTTTCTCCGGTTGCTCCTGTCTTGCATCTTCACAGCAAGAGACTACTGCAGACTACTTTGGTCTACAATTTTGGAGTATGCTTCTGCAGAGCCAGTTTTTGATACATTTAAAGAAAGGAGAAAAGGCCTCCCAAATTAATTACTCAGGCCACGTAACTGTCTTTCTATGTCCTTACTTGCAAGTTATATTTCTAGAAGGTATTTATATCCAAGAATTTTATTTGTATCTCCTTTTAAATAACCACTGCAATCCTCATAATCTGTTTACTTTAAAGCAACATATCTGTTGTCTGTTCTGAAGGCATTAGCTTGAAATCTATTTATTATCTGCTTTGTATCAGAGTTTAAAAAGTCCTTATCTCATATAGTATTTTTGCTAATATGAATTCTTTGCTGTATCAGATTAATCTGCCAGATTCTAGTATCCAAACATCAATAACACAAGGTGATGCAGGCTTTTAGAACACATTCTGTTTACCGTCACGCTTACCTAATGATGGAATAATAAATTGAGTCATCCTTTTTACAGACCGCTGCTTTCTATAAGAAACAAAAATAACTGGAAAGTATTTAAGGACCTCAGCTACGTTCAGCCTATAAAAATATAGAATATTCTAGAATATTTATAAGGCCCTGATGGTTGTCAGTAAATGTTTTGAGTAAACATTTGAGTAAACATGACATTTCCCTTTATCATCTGATAAGGAGTACCTGTGTAAGTCATCTCCAGGAAAAAGTAGACTAGAGAAAGACATGAGAGAAGAGATTAACTCAGTTAAACAACAAAAAGCTCTCTGGACATCTTAAAATATAAGCATAAAAGGCATTTTATTTGTACATGATTTTTGCATAAATTCTTCAGAAACTTGGATATAACCTTCTGTCTTTGTTAAAATAAATGTGTGTGTCCAACAAGGAAGAACTGTGAGTATTTCCCTATGAAACAGGTTAATCAGTTTAAAAATACTGCAGACATGTAGATCACTGTCATTCAATTACATCAGCCTAAGAACAGTATGTACTATAAAAGTCAAAATAAAGACTTTCCATCACCATATTCAGGAGTCACACCATGACCTATTAAGTTTGACAGGTTGCTGTAGAAGAAATTACAGCACTAGTAATTTGATTTAAAAGAGTGTAACAATTAATTGATAGACTGGTATCAGCTGCTGAGAACTTGTAACCACATAAAATAATTATATAATGTGAGTAACAACAGGTATGTGCTAGCACAGCCAGCTTTTATTCAGTCTAATCCGCAAAGTTTGAAGGTATATTCTAGCCATAATTTTCTTTATTTAAGGTCTAGCAGCATTAAAGCAGGGTTCTCCAAATAAGATTTCCACAAGTTAGAAAACCGGGCCATTGTAGCTCCATCAATAATGCGGTGATCAGCTGACCAACTCACATTCATTATCTGTGCTTTAAATACTTCACCTTTTCCATTAAACCGGGGAAGAACCTAAAAATCAGAGAATGGAATAAAATGGAAATATAAATATTGAATACTTTCATTAACAAGTATGTATTAACATTTTGCTAAATTAAATAGACAGCAGTAGTGCCATTCAAGAAAGAGATTTTCCCATTATTGTCTGCATTGCAGATTAGAATATATTGCAAACCTACATTATAAACCGACATATCCTATTTCTACCATCTTGGAAATAGTGAAATAGTGAAAATCTTAATTTTGACTCAAAAGTTTCTTCCTGACTAGTTTATTGCGCTATTAGTGCTCAGAGGGACAATTTCCCCAAAGCGTTCTCTAAACAAAAGGATTATAGGAAGAACACAGGAAAAGTATTTTTAATTAATACTAATTTTATTTCCAGTGTTGACCTTCCATGTATGTATTAAAGAATTTAAGTCTGAAATTCAAAAATAAGAAACTGCCTTTACCATTTGGAGCTCTGTAATAGATTCTGCTATCTGGCTCATGAAGCTAAACTTGATTATTAAAAACACTTTTTTACTCTCAAGTTTTCTCCTTGATTATAAAAAAAAAAAAATGCTCTAGGCATGTTGCAAGACTGGTAAAAAAATATTTACATTGCTTCTTAATAACTGGGAGGCTAAATACAGAATTCTAGAAAATAAATATGAACTTTTGAGGTAAAAGTTTTCTATTTACACATTTCATGTGTGCATAGCCATCTAAAGATACTGTAAACTTAATTCACAAGCTATGCAGTTTCTATTTCATAAAGGGAAAATGTTTAAATAAGAACAACATACAAAGGGACACACAATGTTACATATGCATTAAAGATGACCTCAGTTTGCTACAGTTAAACACTCACATCACTGAGATAAAATTAATATACCTGTATCTTTCCAAGGGCTCCAATAGCTACTTCAGGAGGTAGTATCATTGGTTTAGTATAAGTGCCACCAATCTACAAGGAAAAAAGCTGAGGATATTAGTAAGGGAATAATTATATCATTCTTCTGAAAAAGCAGATTGCTTGTTGCATGAATTGCTAAAGGTTTTGGGTTTTGTATATTAAACTTTCATTAGGATATTCATTTCTGAAGCAGTTTTCAGATGTAAGTTCCCATTTTTCCTGTACTTACTGTGCCAATATTTGAAAGGGTGAATGTTCCCCCAGTGAGGTCATTTGTTCCCAGCTGGCCTGCAGAGCCCAAGGATTGTAGACGATTTAATTCAGAAGCAATCTCAAATACACTACAGACTTGAACATTTTTCACATTTGGGACAATTAAACCTTGCTCTGTGTCCATAGCAACTCCAATGTTGTGCGAAGCCTACAAAAAATTTCATTAACCAGACATTAACACACAGAGTCAACGTAACTTTTATTTTACACAAGAAAGCATTTGAATAATGCGTTTGACTTTTTTTTTTTTTAAACCAAGGAAGTACTGTCTGTATTAAGCAACTCCCCTATACTGTTTTGAGGGGAGGAGGGGAGATAAGTTTTAGAATATTAGCTTTTGATATCTGGAAAATAAGTACAAATCAATTTTTGCAATTTCACATTCAGGAAATCTAAAATCTTGGATTCAGTTTCATACTGAAAATATTTCTTATTTTGTTATCCAAATAAACATCCTAAAATGACTAACAGTCTAAAAGAGAACACTAGTCTTTAAAAAATGGAAATTGAATTATCATTGCATTTTCTAGAAGGAATATTTAAGGATTCATCTGAGGGATACTGATCAAACAGCATATAATGAATTTGCACTCCTTTATATTTGCAACATACCTTAAGGAAATAGACATTTACTGCCGAGGAGTATCAATCCAGCACATTTTATGAAAATTAAATAAATTTTAGTGAAGTGATTTTAAAAAATGACTTTAATATATAAGGGTTGAGAGTTGGAACAGTGGAACCACTGTGCCATTACTAAAAAAATACTGCTGAAATCAGATCTGTATTAAACCTAATTCAATCTCAGACAGAATCTGGATACTCAGATTATTTTCCAGCACAACACAATAACGTTGTTACAAGCTACAAGTTCCTATAATTAGTGCAGACATACTGAAAAGGTATCCTTGTTAGCTGTTAGTTTGGGGTTTTGCTCACAACTTTTCTCAGGATTTTACAAACCTTGTATGTGATGTTTTGACAGCTTTCATCCAAAGAAGCATTAAGAATAGGATACTGCAACAATCCCAGAGAAGCTGCCTGTTAAATATAAAAGAAAAGAGATACATTTTAATACTTTATAACTAAGACAGTTACATTAATATTGTTACTCAGAGATGGAAGGGAAGACATAGCGGGAGACAATTTCAATTAGTAATAATTTGGATTTCCTCTGTGGAATAAAATTTGGTCTGAACTCTCCTAAACCCTCCTTGTGTGTTAAATTCTGTCACGATTAGGACAATGGAAGAAAAAGACAAATTACAAAAAATAAATATATAACAAACAGATACGGAAGGGGATAATCACTCTTTATAATTATAATCAAAGTTGAATTTGCATTTGGTATTTCCTGTTTCACAATTCAAATTGAGTATCCTGGCATGAAACTTACGTGATTCAGCAACGTCATTCTTAGCTTAAATAATAATTATTTTGAGGAAGTAATATTAATTCCCTGGGAAAAAGAGGTAGTGGAATTAGTCCTTAATTGGCACTCTAACTGAAATAGCATTATCATAAGTTTTAGATTAAGCTATACGTTCAGCCTTCAGTGATGTCAACAGCTGGAAATGTCTGGAAGTAGAATTGTGGCAAATAAATGAATTCAAGCGCCTAGTCTTCTCAACGACAAAGCAGATGCACTCATTCATCCGAGGGATTCATTACCAACAAAATAAAATAGAAAAAGAAATTGCATTTCAAGTGTGATAATGGAGGTTGTAAAAAATACTGATGGTTTGCAAGATTTGTTTCTGCTAGTTCAAACTTAAACATTCAGTGACGCTTAGACCCTTATTGAGTCATGACTTATCTGTTCTACCCTTCACCATTAATATTTCAAAAATTTTCCTTGATATTATATAACCCCACTACAATCCCAACAGTGAATTGATAAGTGGCTCAATAAACAAGCTGTGACTTTTCTTGTGACTTGTGACTACTGAAATGGTAGAGACGTGCTTCAAAGTCACAATAGCAATCACTCAGATTTTGGCAAAATCTGCATTAGTAGTCTTACACAGTGCTCTGCATGTCTCACCTTTATGAAGAAGGGCATAAAGGAAAGCTTAACTCCACGAGTTTGTGCTAGAGGTTTCAGCTCTTCTCGCAGCTGAACGAGCTGAGTCAAATCAATCTCATCGCAATAACCAAAGTGAGGGATCTTTAAGGCTGCACTCATAGTCTTTACCATTGCCTTGTGAAAACCTGAAAAATATTCACTAAATTCTCACACCAACAAAATGAGCTTCTGGGAAGTTATGGTGAAGTTCCAATTATTTGGTTGCATTAAAAAAAAATTACAAAACTTAGAAAAAGGAAAAAGAAACAGATGGTAAAGCTCACTTTAGAATCAACAGTTAGTCACCACATGCAAATTCAATTTTTACAGTTGTAATACTTCAGATTATATTATTCCATATTTCTCCTATGTATGCGTGTATTTGGAATCATAATATAGCAATCTACACTGCTTTTTCTGCCCTCTCCATGACGACACTGCCTGAAGGCAAGCACAAACCCCATTTCTTCCTCTTTTAACATGACTTTTCTTATGTCAGCACCTCCTGTTGCACACTCTTGTCCAGAACAAGTCTGAATGCTGAAATTCGCTATTTCTAAGCTCTGATAAACACCTATATTTGCTGTACCTCAAAACTAATTACATAATGACTCATAGTGTAACATATTCAAGTGTTTCAGAATTCCTACTTATTTCATCATATATTTGAAAAAACATGGATTAAAAATGAACAAGTGCAATTTACAGCCCCACTCCCTCCAGCCAAAACATAAACAACTATTTCATAAAATAATAATTTCAAACATCACTTTCCTGCCACGTATGTTTTCCTATTTCTCACTTTTCCAGCACACTTTCAGAATAACAAAATAAAATGGACTTTCCATCAAAAGAAATTGAATGCTTGCTGAGTAACATCTGCTGTTAGTAATTGTGAACATTATTTCAAGATTTTATATTTCATTGTTTACCTGTTATAGCTTCAGTTTTATCTTTTCCTGAAAACGCAATGGGTCTGGAAACTGGTACAGGAATTTTACGTGCTTTATCCTTTGGAGCAGCTGGCACTG